CTGTTTTGGCACACGTGAAGTTCCATTTAACTTATGTATGAGTTTCGTAGCATATTAGCAACAATAAGGTGTGTGCAATTCTAAAGCAGGAAGGGGCAAATGGAAGCGTGTAGTCTCCACTAAAAAATATACTACCACCAATTTGCCCTGAAGCTGCTATCACTTTTTCTGTGGGACGTTCTTTACTGTGCTCGCTAGTCACTACTATTATTTTGTTCAGTCTCGGATTTAAAGAATAATAATAATATAAACAACTTTTACTAATATTAGCCAATACCATGGATGACTGTCAGAAACTCACTAGAGTGGGCCTTATACTGGGTTTAGGCACACGGTTCTAAGTTTTAATCTTCTTGTGTCATTGTAAAAAGAAAAAAGAAAAAATGACCGTGAGAATTTCAAAATAATAATTCTATATCGCAAACATAACACTATAGCTAAAAGTTAGTTTGAAAATCATAATTTTAATGTCAGTTTACAGCATTCGCTCAAACTCCTAGCAATTTAGAAAAATTAGAAGGTTGAAACTCATGTAATTTTATTTATACTTGTAACTTTTAAATATACAAAATATAATTAAAAGTTGATACAAATTCTGTTTATAAACATAAAACTAAATGAGAAATGTAAATACTTATAAAAGTGTAACAGCACTTATAATTCTTATAATTAAAATTCATAACTGGAAGAATTTTAATAATGCTCTATTAATCTGAAATAAACTCAAATAATAGATGCTGATTCAAATTCTCAACACTCCTCCTTGTATCAATAGTTATTGACTCCAAGTTTCCCTCTCAAATTCTCAAACCTGGATACTTTCCCAATATCAGAATTTTTGTCACTCTTACACTCTTGCGACCTGGAATCTGGCCCCAAACTCAAGTGCAATAAACCTCCCTCTTTAGCCTATTGTTAAGTCTCAATTATACTTCTTTTTAGATAGGACTTAGTGAACAATTTCATTCATCCCATGCACTCTTACAAGATAATTGTTTTACTTTTTGATTCAATTTTTGTGCAGATATAACTAACCCAATCTCATCTAATAATACACTAATACACCTCATTTTTTTGTGTAAGTATTGAGTGAAGAGTTGAAAGTTGAAGACCCATTGGATTGGAAATTAAAGGAGCTAAGGAGCAGGAGAAGACTACCTGCGCCGAGCTCAAGGCTACCCGCGTCGGGCTTGAGCAAAACAGAGAGCCACACTCTATACAATTTAGAACTGCGCCAAGTGCAAGAAGATGCGCCGGGCGTGCTCGAAACAGAGAGCAACCTAAACTCTCTAGAAGACATCGCGCCCGACTTAAAAGTAATTGACTCCAAGTTTCCCTCTCAAGTTCTCAAACCTAGATACTTTCCCAATATCATAATTTTTGTCACTCTTACACTCTTGCTACCTGGAATCTGGCCCCAAACTCAGGTGCAATAAACCTCCCTCTTTATCCTATTTCAATGAATTATCTTCCTTTGGTAAATTGTGCAAACAGTCTGGCTTAACTAACCACATTGTCAACAATGTTGTTTTTCTCATCCAAATTAGCTTCAATTTTCTCCGGAACAGGGGCAGTTGCAGAACTGATTACTACACTCTCTGCTTCAACAGTTTGTGGCAGCCTATTAGCTAGTACCGATTTCAGCACAAATGACTTAGAATTTGTAGTTCCTTTCTTCACAATTCTCTTAACAATTTTCTTCTTCTTGACAACCATCGGGGCCGATTTACCTGAAGAAACATTGTCAGCTTTAACTGAATTCAGCACCTTCTTTTTCCCGCGAGAATCATCAACCTCCCTGGCAGAAGGCCGGGAAGAACTACCATCAACAATCTTCTGCATACTCACCTTGTTCTTCCTTGAAATAGAGCTATCATTCCCCTTGAAAGGCGACCTATTCAAATCCACAATAACTGAAGACACCATAACCGGTTGCAAACCAGAATAATCACCATTCGAAACCCTTTTACTCCTCTCCCCATAACTGAAATCTGAATCCAAAATCGGAGTCACATTGAAATTAGGAACAAAAACCGAACTCAAGGGTGGTGGCGGAGCCACAATTGCCTTCGCTACAAGTAGGGATGGCAAAAATACCTGCACCTGCGGGTATCTGTGGGTAAAATCCGCTACGGATAATAAATAGATAGGCTAATTGGGTACCTGCGGATAATGGGGACGAATAATTTTTTACCCGTTTATAAATGGAGCGGGGGCGTGTATGATGATATTCATACCCGCGGGTACCCGTTTAATATTATTTCTTAAATATCCTAATTATCCTTGTACCACATAACCCTAAAACTACACTCTATCATCTTATTTTCTTACAAAAGTGATGTTAATGAAGTTATCGACATGTGTTAAGCATGTTATAAAATTATGTTGGATGTAATTTGATTAATTTTCTAGCTTTGATTGGACCAATAAGATTTATGTATTTTAAGTTGTTTACTTTCATTTGGAAATTTGGAATTATAAGATTGAATTATTGTAGCTTTGTGATGAGACTTTAACTTACTTGTGAGATTGATGTATTTTAAGTTATTGATTATCTTGAATTTTTATTATTATTTCAACAAAATTAACGTTAAATAAAAGTTCAAAATTAACATTAAATTTTTTATTTTTAATATTTCAATGACATTAAAATATAAACTTAAAATTATTTGTAATAATTTTTTTAATTTCTTAAAAATTTTATAAATATCCATGGATATCCGTGGGTATTCAAGAAATTCATGGATACCCGCATGGATAGGGGGTGGGTATGAGGCCAATTTTCATTTAGCGGGACAGGGGCGGGATTACTATTACCCGCCCCCATGGGACCCCATTGCCATCCCTAGCTACAAGCGAATTGGATTCAAAGGAAATATCAATCTCAACAGGACTCCCCTCTCTCTCATCTCTCTCCTCCATTAAATCTAAAAAGAAGTTTTTTCCCTTCATTTTGACCTTGAATAGATCATGTCCACTTGCATCTTTGATCAAACACATTTTATCTTCAAATAGAATTTTGTAGCCTTTATCAAGCAACTTTCCAACACTTAACAAGTTTTGATTAATTTCAAGTACATAAAGTACACTTGTGATTATTTTTGTACCTGAACAACTTTCAATTGCAACAGTGCCCTTTCCTTTAACAGCTATGCACTCTCCATTACCAATTATGGCTTTTGAAACAATTGTCCTATCCATCTCCTTGAACAATTCTTCATCATAGGTCATATGATGTGTGCATCCACTGTCAATTAGCCAGCTCTCACAATTGTTATTGGTGGCAAAACAAGTTGCTGCAAATAACTGCTCCTCCTCCTCTTGTTGGTCAGCCACTTGAGCCTCTGTTTGAAGTTGCCTTTTATTATTGCAAAATTTTGCAATATGACCAAGCTGGTTGCATTTGTTACAGCGTACGTCGGGTCTTCTCCAACATTTGAAGTGGGGATGGTTTCTCTTTCCACAGTGCTGACAAGGAGGATGATTTGGTTTCTCATCATCTCCTTTACCACCTTTGTTGGAACTTTCTCCTTGCTCAAAGTTGTTCCCTCGAGCCTTCTTTTTCTTTCCTTTGTAACCATGATTGAGTTTCAGTTTCTCTTGTAAAGCACCTTCAATCACGTCTTCCTCCCTCATGAGTCTCCTTTATTCTTGGGCTTGCAAAGCATACATCAATTGTGCTAAAGTGATATTTGACAGATCCTTGAAATTTTTCAAAGAAGAAATGGTGAATTCAAACCTCTCATGAAGAGTCACAAGGATTTTCTGCACTATCCTTGTATGGGAAAATTTTGTCCCAAGCAACCTCACCTTGCTTACAATACTTAGAAGTCTGTTAGAATATTCTTTCACCCTTTCTGACTCCTTCATCCGCTGCATCTAAAACTCCCTGATCAAATTCAGCACTTGCATCCCTTTGACTCTCTCATTTCCTTCATCCCTTTGAGTACTCGTTGAGTGAGACTATTAGAAGCATAGGTTTGCAAAGAGCAATTTTATGTCATTCGCTGTGCATGAAAGTTTAAAGTGGTCAATTCTTATTCAACTCAATTTTTCTTATTGGTGTCCTATAAGAATGTTTGCTGAAAATAAAATTGAGGAATGTACAGGATCTTTGGATTGGTATTCTTAACATACGTGCTCTCAATTTTTTACGCCAAATATAAATAACGTGAAAATTATTTTTGTAGCCTTTGGCTTGAACATACATCCAATGCTTCAAGACGTCGAATCAAACATATACCAAGTCAAATTCGCTTGATGATTGAACTATAGGTGGTTTTGCAGTGAACAATGCATATCTTTTCAAGTATAAACGTTCAAATATGATCAAGATTTAACAATAAATAAAATAATATTAGAGTTAGCAGCAAAAGCCCGTAATGGGAAAAGAATATAGAGAAATTGCAACATGATCCGAGACTGATGCATGTAATGATGTAAGCACCAGAACTTCAAAAGTCAATTTCGAGAAGCCAGTAGCCATGAACTCCATTATCAAAAGAAAAGTAGTGTTGTCAACTGTAAGGCAGATGCTAAATAACACTATTATCAATCCATCGTTATTCTTGATATTGGTTCTCCTACTTGGCAGCATAAAACTTTTTTTTGTTGTATATTCTCAACTGTCCCTTCCTAAGATGCAGTAGTGTTGCACCCCGTTTCCTTTATGCTCATGAACAATATTATAAATAAGGCTTCGCATTAGTTATTGATAGATTCGTATTTGATGGCTTAAAATTGAAAGTGGTGGCACCACGTTGAAATTCTTCGTCAGGATCCATCTTTGCTTCGTAGTTTCGTTGTTAAATAGTAAACATAAAAAGTCAAATTAGTTGTTTAATTGCCCAATTGTGTTGCCTTAAAGCATGAACACAACTGAATTCAACACATAGAACTGTTGCTTATTCATTTTTAAATCTACCAGCGGTATTATTTAGATGCAAAGGGAACCATTTGTGAGACGTAATCCAAGAGGCAACAACAATACTAAGTATACATAAATTATGAGTCAACTCGAGCATTTATATTATTGCTAATCAACTCGGAAAAGTATAGATCTCTACAACACTCGAGTATAAAAAAGTCACTCCACATAGAAAATTAGCAGCCTTGCATATGCAGTTAATGAAAATCAAAAGAAAACATGATGACACAGAAACAAGTTCAGTCACAACTGAAGCAGAATGTAGTTGACAAGCACATACTATATAGTAATATACAGAAGACAACCTTCAGTAATATAAGAGAAGATTAAGACTTCATCTAGAGACCAGCAAAGACAAACAATATCATTTCAGCTTTCGATTAGAAGAGAATCCTTGCCTCATCAGCATCTTCTGCAATCTGAAGTGATCTAACTGCTTGTGCTGCTATAAGATCAACAGAGAATCCAGCAGGACCCCATTCTGCTTCTTCATATAAGGGTTCATACACATTCTTTTCGAGAGGCTCAGATCTGAAAGACCACTTGCCATTTTCAGCAGAGACAGACCATGTGCCACCATCTAGATGAGGAAAACAAGCTCTTCTCCCACCCATGAAGAGGTCAAGCTGGTGATTATAATTCCAGGTCTTGCATCCACTGTCATTTATAACAACCTTACAAGATTCGTCCGAGTCTTCGCCAAGTAGAACGTGCAGAGCCACCGCTTCAGCAATTGCGGCACCCTCTTCATCAAGTCTCTGTTGCTCCTCTTTCTTTTTCTGCTTCTTTTTCTCCAGTTCAGAAATGATGGCAGCAGAAGTAGCCAGAGCTTTCTCCAAGCGCCTCTTTTTCTTTTCAGCCTGTTTCAGACGATCCAACTCATCTTTCACCTGCTTCTTCTTAGCCTTCCTCACATGTTGCCCTTTATTACATACCATGTTATCCATAATAAATACTTAAAATAACTTCTGTGAACTATCCTTCAAGAGAATTTCTTTAGAGCTGTATACATTTTTTATTTTATATAATTACTCTCCTCTTTCCC